ACCCAGCACTCGAGGTGCAGCCTCACCAAAGGAGTAAGGGAAAGGCAAATCGATGTTCACAGAGGTTTGCCTGATCTTTTTGGCTCCACAGAGCCATCTCCTGGGGATCCTGATCTCTGCGTGCTGCTCTGTCCCTCTGCTGTCCAAAGGCGTTTGCAGTCTCCTGTGTATTTTTGGAAAAGACCTGGGAAATGATTTATGGGAAGACTTTGCCTCATAGTGAAAAATAGTGTTTACTCTCAGCTCGGAGAGGACAATGAGCTGCTTAGCATACAAGTGTGTTTCAGTGGAGAAAACAACAAGGTACGGAGAGATGTGCGAGTCAGTGTCACTGGGGTTGTGGAGAGCTTCAGATGTCACATCGGTACTTGTTTCAAATGAACACAAATCCTACATTTCCAGGCTGGTTTAGAACAGCAGTTGTAGCTGTCGCAGACACTCCTGAACAGAAGAAATTCATTCATTATCGCAGCAGGAAAACTGAACAGAAATCATTGTTTAGCCATTTCAGAATGTAGATGTGGTAAGAGCTTCCCCAAGCAAGACCTCTTGTAGGGGAGGACAGGTTGGGCTGTCCCCGTGGTGGGTGGCACTGTGCTGAAGTGCCCTGGAAGCTCACTGCAGAGTTGTGGTGGCACACGGGAGAAGTGGCCATGGGTTTCTGATCCTTTGTTGGAGTCAGCGTGTCTGAGTGTTAATATGAGGAGTGGGATTGGCAAAATCCACACTCCCCATTTCTGAAGGAATGTCTTGGGTGGCTTTGCAGTGATTTCTAAAACCTCCCTGTTTGGGAATATCCGCAGCTCTTGTGGAGCAAGCAGGATGATGCTGAATGGATTTGGCACAAAAAGAAGGAAAATGTCTCTTGCTGTGCAGCACGAGCTCGGTCCTTAGCTCGAGCCACCAAAACCTGTGGTCTGAAAGTGATGTTAAAATACACTTTGCTCCTCTTCCAGATCTCCTTCATGTCGGGGGCGGTAGCTAAATCAATCCGCTAGTGCCTCCTGTTTCTCATCCAGCCAGAGCAATTGGTGCTTTAGTTCACTATCGGGGATGCTCTCCACCATCTGGCTCGGGCAGACAGATGACTCTGCTGAAGAACTGTCTGCAGCCAACCTGATGATCACTGCTCATGTCCTTTTGTTTGTTTTCCTGTGAGGGTGAAGCCAAGTGGGGCCTTACCTCAACTTTTCCACTTGTGCTGGTTTGATTTGTGTTTGACCTTGAGGCCAGTGCTTGGGGCACTGCAGACTGTGGCTAACCCCACCCTTGACTTTCTTCCCAGGTCATCATCGAACGCTATAAAGGGGAGAAACAGCTGCCAGTGCTGGACAAGACCAAGTTCCTTGTCCCAGACCATGTCAACATGAGTGAATTGGTCAAAATAATCCGGTGAGTGGGATGGAACGTTGTGCCACAGGCCCTGGACACAGAGTGGTGGGGTGAGGAGAGGCAGAGGCAGCTGCTGAGCGTGGGCACGGGGACATGACAACCACAGCATCCTTATGTTGTGGTACAGACTGTTTGGGGGGGCTGAGGGGGACAGGTTCTTAGCATCCAGTGAAGGACTGTGACCTCTCCCTCATAGGGACACTCCATGAGCTGATGAGGGGGACTCCAATCCCCCTCTTTTATCCTTCAGCTCAGATGGAAGAGGCCCCTCTGCTTTGCCTTTGCCAGCAGCACTTGGAGAGAGGCGCTTTGCAGAATCCCGACTCGGGAGGCTTTGGAGCCCCGAGCAGCTCAGCTGGGCTCATGGACACTGTGTCCTGAGCGTGTGGGAGGAGGTCCCAGCTCTGCAGGCCTGGCTGCACATGAACAGCATTGCTGGGGGGAGGTAGAACTTGCTCTCACAGTGCCTACCCCAGCTGGGTTGACCCAAGCCCTCCTGCCCTTGCCCCCACAGACGTCGCTTGCAGCTGAATCCCACCCAGGCTTTCTTCCTGCTGGTGAACCAGCACAGCATGGTGAGTGTGTCTACCCCCATCTCGGAGATCTACGAGCAGGAGAAGGATGAGGATGGCTTCCTCTACATGGTCTACGCTTCCCAGGAGACCTTTGGCTACTGAGGCCTGCTGCCAGGAGGCATGTGGAGACAGATGAACTGTGGTGCGCAGGCCCCGAGCTTTGGAAGACGACACAACCAGAGGCTCACACGAGGGGGACTGTGCTGACTCCCTCTCTCCCTCCCTCCCCTTCCCATCACCCTGTCACCAAAGAGGCTTGTGGTGTGTGTTGGACTCACACAACCCTTCACCGCTGTGTAGATTAGTCCCACTCCCTCCACACACACACACCCACGTGCGCCCATATGTGCAGACACCTGTGTGCACACGTGGGCCCTCAGCATCCCATTCCCATCCCCATCCCCATCCCATCCCATCCCCATCCCATCCCATCCCATCCCATCCTCATCCCACCCCCTCTGTGTAACCCTCAGCTGCTCTCACCGTGCCGTGTACGTGTGTGTGTGTGTGTTGTAGCCTACTGCCAAAACGGTTCGGCCGGTGATGGAGAGAGGACAGGACGCTGTCGCCTTCACTTGCAGCACAGGGAGAGCTGCCTCTCCTCCAAGACACTAATAAAGGGCAGGAGGTCTGCAAAAGCAGCAAACAGATGTTACCATTGCTCCTGAATTTTAATTGATTTTAATTACACCCATATCAGATTCTTGGTGCTACTGAGTAGATGTAGGCGTCTCTGTAGGACTGTGGATAATGTATATCTCTTAGATTTATTTTATTGGGGTTTTTGTTTGGTTTTGGTTCAGGGTTTTGTTTAGTTGTTTTTTTTTTTTTAGGGATAGATTGGAATGGGGAGAGGGGGGTAATCTTTCCTGTATTCTGTAGGTGAATAAATCAGGCTTCATTGCACTTTAAAGCATAGTAGATGTCAGAGTGGAATTTACTTTTAATTTATACAGGTTTGCCACATATAGTGCTGCTCCTCTGTTGACAGTTGTACTTAGATTGTCTTTGTTTCTTTTTTTTTTTTTTAAATAAAATTTATTTCCCTTCTCTCTGTCTCTCCATTGCATGCAATTTTTCAGTGTGGCAAAAAGTTCGCTCAAGGAATGTACTGATTTATATTTGCTATGTTCCCATTCCTGTTTCTCGTGTATTATACCAAAAAAAAAATGTATATGATAAAATCCCACCCAGTTTATTCTATACAAAAGGTATATATATAAATATATATATAAAATAAACATAAAATCAAGTCGTGTCTTGTAGGAATGTTCTGTTCCCATCTCATTTGTCTATGTTAATGTCCCTGGTAAGTGATGTGTGTTCCCCGTGTTTGCTGGTACATTGTGTGGAGCTGGTTAGTCCAAGCTGGGGCAAAAGCGACTGGCTGGGGTTGAGGGGCTGAGGCAAAGGTGGAAGCTCGGTTTAGAGGAGAGAGCACTAGATGGTGATGTGGGAAACATGGTTATCCTTGCCCTACCTGTGATGTAGCGTTAGATAAGTCTCTTGTCCTGTGACCAAGTTTCCTGACCTGGGAGAAAAAAAATACTGAGGGTGGAGGGTGTTTGCAAAGTTGTCCTGTCAGGCTGTGAGCACACATTGCTGGCTCATGTCCAGCTTTTCATCCACTAGTACCCCCAAGTCCTTCTCCACAGAGCTGCACTTGGCTATATTAAAAGGGAAAGAAACAACATCAGATTACTGCTGGAACAGCTCCTCTTCAGAATAGCCCGGAGTTGCTGCTAAATGACTTCATTTTCTCTCCCTTTTGCCTCCCATGTGATACTGGCTTCAAGGTTCAACCACTTCCAGGATCTGTGTAACCCATCTGACTGTTTTTCAGGAGTTCTTTGCTGTTCTCCTTTCCTCTACTCTGCCCTTAGTTCCTCATGATTTGTAAGTAATGGTGAGTAACAACCGGAGCCCATCCCCACAGTCCCAGTGGCACGTGGCAGCCCTGCTCACTCATACACAGTTGTGTTTATCCAAGACACTGAGGCAGAGCCCACACTGGCCTGGCTTCTAATACCTACAGGTTCTCAGAGGTCTCTGGAAATGCTGCTGTCTTGCCCCTTCCTCCCCGTGTGGCAGATGAAGATGGACTATTGCCTTGTCCTCCCTTTCTGCTACCCTTTCGCTAGTGAACTTCAGGAAATGACGGGTGTTTTGGTGGAAGCAACTGCTTGTGCGTGAGAGACTGCCTGGGCTTTTGTGGTCTGATGCCTCGAGGTGTTGGTTGACTAGTGAGGGAAGTTACACATGCCAGACTGGCTTAAGGGACTGACCAGCCAACCTGACCCAGAGCTGAGCCACCAAGCCGAGCAGATTTTGCAGCACAGCTGTATGCGGGTGCTGGTGCCAAACGATGGAACAATCTGGGTAGGAGGAAGCAGAAGTTTCTCTGGGAGCAGTGTAACTCAGATGAGCCTGGGACAAGGACTGGTAGGGCAGCGCACGCAGTAGGCAAAGATGCAAAGCCAATGATGATCATTTTGCTCATGGTAGAGAAGAGCCAGAGATGAGCATGGAAGTTTTAGAGGGGACTTTCAGTCCCCTTTTATGCCATCTGCCTTGTTACAGATACGTACGTCCTAATGCCAGCCTGTTCATATTTAGGCTAAGCACATTTGATGAACAAAAGTTAAATCATGGTATTGTCCAAATGTCTCTTAAACACTGACAGG